CGCGTGCTGTTGACCAGGACGTGAGAATGAGGTCTCAGATGTATCTAGCGTGGGACCTGTAGATTTGAGGATCCCGCTAGTAGGTTTGCTAGGTCTAGCATTGAATCTCAGGTTGTCAGATTGGGCACTGTCATCGACGTGTGCTGGTTTGAGACGATCAATGCTGACGATCTCGACGCGTCCATATCGATCAACCTTGAAGGTCTTTTCGTGACGAGCGATCACGTGAAAAGGGCCTTCGTAAGGTTGTTGCCAAGGTTTGCGTACCGAATCTACTCGTACAAAAACATGTGAACAGGTAGATAACTCTCGAGGGAGAGCGACCTGTCGATGTTGTATTCGAGTTGACACCGGAGACAGCGTTCGCATAAATGCAGACAGTCGATGGACGTAGTCTGATTTACCGAAATTAGGTCTGCTCCGTGGTGTGAAGAATTCTCCGGGCAGACGCAATGTCGTGCCGTATACCAGTTCAGTGGCGGAACATTGTATATCTGCCTTTAAGCTCGTTCTGATCCCTAAAAGAACGAGCGGTAAGGTTTCGTGCCAGTTGCCGTTTTCGTGTGCTCGTAGAACACTTTTAAGTGGGCAGTGAAACCGTTCAACTTAACCATTTGGTGCTGGGTGGTAGACGGATATGCTTATGCGTATGCATTCCGTACCAAGCAGCCGGGTCAGCGAGGAGAATCGTTAATAGGGTAACATTACTCGAATAAAGCGTGGAATTCATCATCACGCGAATAAAAAGTGACAAGGATTCGGTACACATACGTGTGAGTCTATTATATTAATACTATTCTTATCGTTATCCGTCATGTCGCGTATATTATATATTAAAAAATATGAAAATATACGACAGACGTGGATAGATAAATCATAGACTCACCGAATTGACTTCTTTGAAAGATTTGATCAGAAGTTGAGGCGTGTTCCAAAATACGGGTCACCAATTGTAGAAGAGTTGGGATTACCAATTGTAGCGTGGCGTCGAGTTGAGATTAACTATGAACACCGCTACCAAGAAACAGGTGCCAGTTAGATCAGAGGGCGTAAGAAGCTCGTTCCAAATGACTCCATAAAATCCCCGAGAAGCCGAATACCAGAAGGCAATTAATGGACCAAGTCGATGTTTATTTGCTGGCGATCTCGTGGCATCGAAAGGATACCGAGATCGTGCCAGGATACAAGCTTGGTTACAGAACGTAACCGAATCCGCGCGAAGTTACAATCGATGTGTAAGTATAAGAATGGAAGCAGAAAATAGCTGTCATTAGCACAGTCAAACAAAAGCACATTAAAACAGTCACTGGTAAAATTGGTTATAATAATAATTGTTTTTATTAAACCAGTCGTGTTCTCGTGATAAACGTGAGTCACTACAACCCCAACACTGACTAAGGTTCAAGCCATTATCATAGACATGAGTTGGGAGTGTACCTCCCCTTGGTTACAACTTATGTTCTCCCTGATAATCACATGAGCATCACTCACTATTAATCATCTTGTAAAAACTTATTTAGCTAAATACATCTTGCAATACCACATCACTTCGTAATATGACACAGGCCTAACTGATTTTAATAACTTATAACCACTATATCTCAATTAAATCGTATTCCGCCTTATAATAAACTGCATACTTGCAACTAACTTGTATGCCCAATCAGCCAGCAAGTATAAATATAAATAAATAGTCTATTGCAGATCAGAACATTGAGTCCAGAGCATGTCTCTTGCGAACACACTCATGTTTAACGATTTTTCCTAGCTATCTGTCCAAAATCCATATAATTATCACTCATGTATTTAAATTTTGTTTTGATAACCATTCATGTGTATTAGTAGTATTACTAAATTCTATCACGGTCAAGTAAAAATGAGGTTGAGAAAATCTCCCTGTAACTAAATAAACCGTATCAAACTAACTGGAACACTAGTTGGAATTCTTTACCATGGTAATACTTTTGTTCCTTCAGTTAGCCTACTGATACAGATGCAATTGGAAATCAACTCTTATGGACAACTTACCGGCATAATCGTTATCCGATTTCATAATTTAAACCAAAACTAATACCAATATTAACATTTCTACAATATTCATTATTTTAATATTTCTAAACACAAAATAATTACTACCTATAAGTTAAGTTATTAACACGCATCGTTTTATTATTATTATTATTGTAATCCTATTTTTTATAGCTTAAATAATCTTCACCCAGATTTTCATTTCAAGCGTTTTAAACATGAAGGCAGATATTTTAAAATTATTACATGTATTTCCCGACCAGATGCTGCCGCTTTCTTTTTGATTTATCTTTCAGCTTACCAATACCCGGAGGATTCTTATTATCCTTGGCAACCTCCGGCGCGCGACGATCCCATCCAATTTGGTATCGAACCAACATCACGTTGATTCTGGTGGGAGAGTAGTGTAGTGGCATTGGACAATAGCCACACAATCCACAAAGCTGTGAACACGAGACTACTCAGAAAATAGATATCCAATATTTAACGCGGAGAAATACCTAACAATGGAGAAGGCGCGAACAATGAATTGAATGGACTGGTGTTGATCGAGTGGCATGGCTCGTCCATGCAGGCGTGGTCCATCTCAATGTTACTTTATATCTTCTATTCATATTAAATATATTGTTCTTTCTCTAGCCTAACCTTGTTCTACATCATGTATTGGTAATTGATACGATACAGTGAGTTGGTGTAGTCGATGGTGTGACTTCCACGTAAGGTCTTACAGATTAGGCAGTTATATCATGACAAATCTACAAATTTAGGATTAGGTCTATTATTAGAGCAGTACTAATATCATAGTAGACCATAATTCTACACATCCACTCAATGCAACATGAGATTAAGATTCCTTTCGACTTTTGAGCGAAAGCTTATTTGTAGTATAACTTTCGGAGTTCAAATTGTATAACCAAATAATAGATATTGATGGTCATAAGTTGGTGTGGATTAATAGTTGCAATCTATTATATTACAAATTTATGTTCTGATTTCGCAACCTGAATATCTTAGGAGAAATGATAATATCCGATGGCAAGAATTTTCATTAGAAATCTTGAGATACAGTTATAGTTGGTGCTATGCTCTGTTGATTCGTATTTCAGAATGAAACCTTACTTGTTCTTTTGTCTTATATGATTGATCCTTAATTTCATTGGAGGAACTGGCGACAATCCATGTGTTAAATTGTTTGTAGACAGATGCGGTGTCGTTACATTGTTACTGCTCGTAAAGACGTTACATCGTAAATAACTTTATTACAAATCGCTATGCTATATAGACTGTTTTGTCAAACAGTGAGCATCCTAAGAATAATATTAAGAGGGCCATTCCGATCATATATTACATGTATTTTGTTAGACTCACGTATGATTGCATCGAAAATAACTCTGTGTTCATACGATTTACCCTGGCTTCAAAACAGACTAACTTTTATAATTTCATTTATTACGACCCAGATACCTTTTTTCTCAGTATTCGTGCACACTACTTCACTCGACAAGCTCCCAAATCGGAAAACAGTTGAACAGGAACGTAATTGTATTCGATACAAAAGGATGGATGGAAGTAGGAATCACAGTAAGAAAAGTATTAGTATTTTAATGGTTTCTACATATGAATATTCTTGAGTCTTCTTAATCTGTCCACTAGTGCTGATTGGATAGGAAATAGACAATCAGTGTGCCCCAACGTAATCCTGTACGGAAGTGCTTAAATCCAATCTATATCCAGTTAACACTAACTGATTTATTCTTTTTGAGACATTACCCACACAGATTCAGACCTTGTTAGGTGTTCGCTTATAACTTTGTTTTTAGATGGATGCACATGTGTGACGCTTTTGAAGAAACATTTGGCCCTAATGTTAAGCATGTTACTGGATACTAGCTAGTCATTATTTAGAAACCACACTGAAATAATTGTGTTTCTAAACGTAATTGTAACTTTTAATCGTCATTCATATGAAAGGTTCCTGCGCTGAATCTTCCTCATACTACGTGCCTGTATACCACACAAAAAACTGTTACAGATATGACTAATACGCCGGTGCTGCACACCTTGTAGCATAGAGACCATCCAGAGGAAAACACCGATACAACGGCAAAGCTCGTTAGGCGATCTTCCACTTCACGCCATGGTTAGTCAATAGTTTCATCCATATACAAGACGCCTTGCCAGATGAAAAATGGAGAATATCGTCCTCTCTTTTGGCTTTTCCTGAGGATTTGCTGACGTAAAGTGAAAATTTTAATGTGCAACAGTTCACAGAGGGGCTGGTAAATGATGAACTATGAGAACGAGTGAAAAAGGAGTGGTAAATGGCGGTTGAAGACGCCTCGCTGACCACTAAACAAAAAGAATTGATCCTACATGTTGGTAGGACACCAAAAACATCAGACCGAACTTGTGCTGAGCACATCAACAACTGTCGAGGTATTCCACTGAATCGATACAACAGTAGACACTGGATACCTTAAACACAACACAACGGCCTAAGACGATATCTATTTCATGCCCCAGGCAGGCCACACAGTCAACAAACTCAGCACCTAGCAACCATGCCAAATCACGTCTAGGTGAGTCATTCCATTTTTTAATGCTAACCGGCACTGGCGTACATATGATTAGCGAATTGCTTTTTGTTATTATTTCCATCAATGGGGAACTAGTTGAAGGACTAATTGATGTTGAAGCGGACTGCACTCTTTTCTTCATTTGTGTAATCTGGCAGTTGTCTGCAAGACTGACAACGAACGTTCCTTTCCAGACAGCCTCAAGCGCTGTTATGAAAACAGCAGGGCTATTGACGTTTTGTAGAAAAGAAAAGCAAATAAACTTCAAGGAATCGTTCAATTTTTCAGAAAGATTCAGTCCCGAAGGTGTGCACGATTTGTTGGGACTATACTGTTGTTTCCAGAAGCACCTGCAAGGAACATCTTCACCGTCTCGAGTTAGTGCTTCACTTTATTATGAGCAACCTACCACGTAATAAAATAGATTTTTATGGTCATATAACCGATCTTGACGGTGTTCGTGGTGAATTGAAAACTGTGGCTGCCATAAAAAATCGGCCTGAACCAATTTTACCTGATGAAGTACGCAGTTTTCTCGGTTTAACGGATTACTACAGTCGTTTTGCAAAGAACTATGCAGAAACGGATTGTCTCCTTATGTGTTTAACGGAGAAAAATATAGAATCTGAGTGTTCGGATATTCGTCACAAACCATTCGATGCTCTGAAAGATACAATTTACTCAGCACCTGTATTAAAACTGCCAAACATCGGCAAATTCCGGTAAGTAAAAATACGAGCGAAATAGGAACTGGAGTGGCATTATCTCAGATGGGACCTGATGGCAAATAGGATGTTATTGAGTATGGAAATCAAATGTTGAACCACTTTGGAAAGAAGTACTGTGTTACACTAAAACAAATATTGTCAGTTCTGTAATTCATACCGAAGTACAGATAGTACCTTTATATCGCACACTTCAAACTAAAAACTTACCCGTAAGCTTTCCAGTCTTCAGGGATTTTCAAAGACTCGCAGGTGCGAACAAAGCGTTGACAAGAATATCTTCGCGAATTTGATCTCGAGTGCATCCATCGACCGGGGCGCTACCATAAAAATGCGAATCCTCCACACAACGATCAGTTAAACATGTCGCAGTCTGCCTTTCTTACAACGTATTTCATATGCATTCCATATCTCTAGCGGTGCTTGACAATATCCTATGGACACATATGCACAGTTCAGAAGGTGCAACATCCCTACTGTATCAAACTCAGCGACAACGAGTCAAGGCCACCTGAAGTGGAACTCAAATGGAAAAGTTTCGAAACGAAGTATTTGTGGGTGTTATGGGACCAGCTATCATTAATCGAAAGCATCTTATGTGTTCAACCAAAATATGTCCAACACATAGTAGTTCCACAATCAGTGGGTACAGCAGTGTTATAAAACGTCCATGTTGATCATGGACATGCTGAAAAAATAAAGATGGTTCAGGTATTTGGATTAGATATTGGTGGTCATATCAGAAGCGAGACGTTCAAGATTTTTTAAATAGTTGCCAGGTCAGCGGTCGCTAAAACACCCGGCTAGGAATGAGTGTGCACTGTTAAGTAATATGAAGGCTAAAATCTCAAATGAAATCCTGGGAGTTGGTATGATTGAACCTCTGAGACTGAAAACAAAAGGATATAAGTACTGATTGTTTATGGTAGACTATTTCACGAAATGATGTGAAACCGTCCCATAAGATAAAATTGTCGCTATCACGTTTGCAAGGGCACAGCTCGACAACTGGAGTGCTCAGTGTGGAGCACGTGAGCAGCGGCTTTCGGGTCGGTGGCCTAATGTTTAGAGTAAATTAATGAGAAAATTACTTTAATTGCATGAAATAAAGAAAACGTGGACTGTGATAAAGTGGCTAAGTGACATGGTGACAATTAGGAGTATTTGAATTATAGTACAAACTAGGTATCCCAGAAATAGCTCAATCGAGTTAAGAAGTACTGGGAGTACTAGCACGAACGAATGTAATGTATTTGGAATTCGAGATCGAGCAGTCAACAAGTACAAAAGAATTATTAGTTCATACAAACATCACAAATATATGAATAGTCTTCTTGCTTATGATTAACAGATTACACATACTACTTGACCTGATAAATTCAATACTAAGCTTATGAAATGAATCAACTATTAGTCAATGAAATGAATATATCATTCCATCTTTTAAATAATTTTACTGAAATAAAACGAAAGAAACTTTATGACTTATGAACAAATTCAGAAGATAGATTAATATATCAAGCTTCTGCTTTCTACATGACACATTGTTATTTCACTCAATAACCAATAAACTAAATAACTTACCCTTTCGAAAACCCAATTAAAGGTTTTGTTACACATATTTATAAAAACATCGACCATTTATTGTCCATGCGATGTAATCCATATATGTATAAAGATGAAACAAACTTACCTGAGTTACTTTCGTTGCATTAGATTAGCCAAAAACAGATTTCTGGACAATTCACAGCACCGTTTATCTGTTAACATTTCAATTATAACTGAAAAGATTAATATTGATGATGATATCGTTAGCTCAGATAAGCAGGGATCAGTTCCATCTTTATATACGTTTATAGGTAATTATAAGATAATCATCTGAATGTGTAATATGTTCTTTCCTAAAAAGTACCTAATGTAATGCACAAGTTTAATCGGATCATGTTTTAACGTAATTTACAATTTGTACTAATATCAGATACTTACTTACGCTTATTATTTCTCGTGGAGGAGAATAGGACGCCCAGCAACACTCTCCATCCTACCTTGTTCAGAGAAATCCTTTCCAGCACCTGACAACTGTTGTTCGTACTTTCAATATCTGCTGTCGAGTCCCAACGTAATGTGTTATTTGGCCCTCCTATTTTCCGCTTCCCTTCATGATTCCAAGTTAGGGCTTGCCCCGTGATGCAATTTGGTGATTTCCGTAATATATGTCCTATCAATTTCCATTATCTTACCTTAATTTCCTCTTTTGCTGGAAGGTGGCTTGTTCTCTTCCACAATAGGCTGTTGCTGATGGCATCCGGCCACTGGACGTTGAGTATCTTGCGTGGACAACTATTCATACATAGTTATCCACCTAATGATGTCCACCCAAATACCGGTACCAAATGAGGGTTTTAAACCTGTGTGAAAATTAACAATTATGATTAACGGTTGGTGATTAAGGTTAGAAATTATATTTAGGTTTTTAATCACCAACATACATCAGCTTAAATGTCAAAACTCTATTTATTCAAACAGATGAGTGAATTTCATGCAAAAATTCGATTCCTGTTATTTTATATATGGTTGGTTCGCCCATAAATTATAGTCCCGTCGTACTGCTTGTGTTACTCACAATATTATGAATTTGAACAAGCAAGACCTTATGAAAACTTAGCGCATCAAATGGAACTTCGTACATTTTTACAGAAAGTAAGTTTTATGGCTGTTCGTTCAGAGTTATTATAGTGAATGTGGTTTAAATATTCTGGACTTCCAGACAGTGGAAATAAGTACCAATGAGTTTAACAGTAAATTAGCGGTCAAGATATTTGCGTTTCAACCAGCTGGTCTTTTATTCGTAAACCTTTCCACCTACTTGGCTTTAAAAGCCGAATATTAGCACAAGTTCTCAAGAAAACAATGTTGCTCAAAGTTGAAAATGCAAACCTATGTTTGATCGATGCCTTTATTCAAATTAATCTTCAAACATTATCATAGGATAATTTCACTGATTTTTGTCCACTATTACTCAAATTGAAATAAGTGTCTTTGAAGCATCATTCGTGTATTTTAAAACCATCAACTGAGCAATGCATAGTTATGGGATATGTTACTGGGTAAAGATGACTAGTCGATTGATGAGGTAGAGAATCTTAAATGACTGGCGTGGTTAGGACATGTGTTACATATACTCAACCTCCGCCTATCCTGACGGGCGATGTTGACTGGTGTGGGAATTGGATGAAAGAAAGCTAGAAACAGCTAAACCGAATTTGGAAACCAAATCATGGAGTCATTGAGAAGTGAACCAAGCCATGTTCATAGATGTAGATTAGCTGATTGAAGTCCACGTGATCATCGTAATCAGCTATTTGAGACCTCAAATGATATAGATCAAAACAGTTTACAATGATATATGTGCATCCACTCTTTATATACCCCCAAACTTGTGGAGATATGACCGACAAGCTTATTTTGTAAATAGTTTTCAATATTACTTATATTTATTTTGTAAATTTCCCACTGTATGTACATTTATCAATAAATGACTGTACCAGTTGTTTTAGTGAATGACCTTGAACACTCTTCCCGTTGTGATACTGACATAGCGTGACATACTTGTCGTTGTTCTCAAATACACTGCTATACACACACACTCCTCGTTCTACTCTCACTCATTATTGAGCTAATTGCATCCTAAATCAAATATTATCCACATTTATAGACTGTGAGCTGAGAAATATCGCACATAACGGTGGATTAAATTATTGGAGAGTTCAACAACCAGTACAGAGTTATCGAACATTTATAATTGTGGATTTACGATACCAGACCCAATCAGAACACGCAACAACTCGGTGAATTTAAGTAAAGTCCATATTTTTACTTTGTATTAATAACCATTAACAATGTTATTTACTCTTCATAACTTGGTTAACATTTTTTTGCGTTCATATTTGTCTGGTCTACCACAAACTTTTAGCTCCTGTACTCTCTAACGCATTTTTGTTTCACTAACATACACGTTCTTGTATTGCATCTTCGGTGCCTAGCATTTTCAGTCATCACTCATGCTGTTATTACCTCTGCTTTTCTGAGACTTGGGCCGACATTTTCATCTCTCATGGATAATATGGTATATACATACGTATCATGTTCGACATTGCGATTTACTGACTTGTGTTATAACTATTCATCCTAATTGGTTATACTAAACTCACACAGGAAAAGACTAATGAATAGAACAAATTTATGCGTAGAGTTACTAGCTTATTTACTTACACCTGTCATCCCTCGTGAAGGAGCATATTTAGTTATAAAACACTAAAACAAAGAATGCAGTAAGCAAAAGTACCATTTTTCTAATGAGATCATGAACCGATAGATGCTAGACCACCATGGAAAGCCTGGAGGCACTGGAAAACCGTTCCACAGAGTTGTCTGGGAATTATTTTGCTGCGGACTTTTGCGGTTAAAAAACCCCGAAGTACGATGTTCCTTTCACAATTTCGGCGGGCTCACATATTTCTACCTCTACCGATCGTCTCTCAATAAGATCAACCAGGATGAGTTATTCAAGGACGTATATTCCAAATCCAACGAATTTGCGTGAGTTTCTCAGTATCAGGACGTTTTTTTAGCAAAAGCAAATGTAAACTTTGAATTGGCGGTTTTTAATACTTTATGTATCCATGTTTCGTCCTATTTTATAAATTTTACTGACACCTCCTGGAGCTTGTTCTGGAGTAGGTTGCATTGAAAGAACTTTATGTGGCTGAGGTCGTGCTCAATTTTAGCCTTAGCTACTTTTTTGAAGGATTCTCCTAAATTATAAAAAATGTCTGACCTGTCAGCAAAGTCGCCTATACACGCAATGGAAATTCCACACTGCAGTTTGATTTGACGTCAAGCGCAAAGTGACATTTAACGCTTCATAAGTAATAGACACTGAACACAAACAACACCAGAGGTTTGTATATTACTGTAATAAACAAAAATGAACAAAATTCG